TTTGTGCGTAGGCATGTAATAGGCTATTATTAGCCTCGCCCAGCTTTGCATAGGCGAGGACTAGGTACTCGTTAACCAAGGATTTGTCCCTGTGTTTGTTCAACATGTGCTTGTACATGTATTTGTATGTGGTAAGCAATAGTTACTTCAATTTTTCATCTTTTCTCCATTTCTCTTTGTGTGTAGGCATGCAATAGACTATTATTAACCGAGGATTGTGTGTATTACATGCAATACCTTCTACCTACCATGCAGTTGGTGCAGCTTTTGTGTGCCATTGTAAGTACTATTTTTTGTAAGTATCATTGCTTCAAAAATTCACTGCTTCTCTCATAGGTGTAAGTTCCACAAAGAAAATGGAAGTGCTCCTGAGTATAAACTCTGTCCCAATAACTGTTAAAACTTTTGTAATGTTGTTATTATTGTTTTTGTTTTAAATAAAGTGTATAATTAACATGATTAAAAGTGGGTATGTGCCACCAAAGCTAGCGGCTTTAAGCCACCATTGGCAGTGAGCTATATGACTACCTCAATATACGCTTTATTTGGTGGGTAAAACCCACCTTTGTTTTTGCAGTGTATTAAAACCATAAACTTGTCTCTAAAACACTAAGTACAACGCTCCAATCTCACTTAAATCTTTACCTGTAAATGAGTCAAGAGATATGGCTCCACTCAGACAGTACACGTGGTGTACTGGTGTTCATTGAAAGGGCGTGGTAATACCTAATGAAAACTATTAGGTCTGGATTAGGTCATAATATTATTGCCAGTAAAAATTAGAGAATATTTTAGGTCAACATATTGTAGCCTATAGAAAGCTAGGTCAACATATTTATGACCTATTGAAAGTTAGGTCAACATATTTATGACCTATTGAAAGTTATAGGTCATGATATTTTGGCCATTAATGTGCGATGCCGTAGGTCATAATATTATGACGTAGGTAATGATATGGTGACGTAAAGTGACCATATTGTGACGTCATTTGTACGCAATAATTGGTTTTATCTTATGTAATAGCTTTCTGAATTTTGTTACTGATGGCTTGCCATAGTCCCCCTGTATAAAGGCGGATTTACAATATGACATTAGGCCAGCGTACAGTCAATTTTTAATCAAAAACGTGGGCGATTTGACCTTTTGACGCATGCTTTCCGCTGGAATAGAGCATAGATCCAGATTCTATTCCAGCGTCAACGTAACGTCAGGACTAGCGTAATATTGTAAATCCGCCTTAAACCAATGGGGAATCCGTGTGCAGCGGTCGGAATAGCTCCAGCTAGAGGGTCCTCTTTCTCCAGTTGTAACTTCTTAACTATAGCAGATACAGGACTGAAACAAGGATGTATCTATTCAGCATAGAATTCTCTAACTACCAACACCAAAAAACAGCTTGATCCTTATAAAATGCAGCTAAGCAACTCTGGCTAAAAATTTGTGTTCGTTAGCTTTTTCACATATTATTATCACCTACACGCCCAAGAGTTGGAACATGGACCAGTCCTGATACAGGCCTGAATCATTACTGATGATCGAGCCTGGACCGAGGATTTGGGGCAATGTCTTGATCCGATATTGACGAATCAGCCACGATTTATGCTGGTGCCAGACCTGATCCGACAACGATAACGATATTCATTAAGCCTCATTATGACGTACTTCCTGTTATGCTTAATTAATACTTAATTATTATTCATCATTAATTTAAAATGATTTGGAATTATTATTAAAACCAAAAAAAGATTATAATTGTTTTCTTCATCATAGTCTACCAATGTTCCACAAGTAAGACACTTCATGTTTTGTAACTTAAGACACCTAAAGAGCCATAAATTAAGAAGGCACTAAAATAATAAACTTACATTACTGAGAAATTAATTTCCAAAAATCTCCAACATTAATGAACTCTGGGGTTCCATGTAGTGAAGCAGATCTTTCAAAGGTATCTTGTAACACATAGTCCTACAAAGCTTAGATCCATAACATAACTATAATGAGGCATAAATTCTACATAAGCAAAGGAACTACATACCTTCCTTAACCAGCATGATGAAGGCAGGTTCACAAAAAAATCAATGCTATTTGAAGTGAACTATAATGACAAATGATGATAATAAATTAA